GAGGTAGACACTGAGCATCTTCGACAGTCATTCTCCACATTCCTCTTTGAGACAGGGTCTCTTATGGAACCCAGAGCTCCCTGATTGGCTAGGCTGACTGGCCAATGAGAACCAGGAATCCGCCTGTCTCTCCTGGATTCTAGCCCTGGGGTTCCACATGTCAATTCTAGGGGTCTGAATGTAGGTCCTCTTGCTCGTGTCTGAAGCCTTTAATGGTCCTTCCTCCCAGTCTCTGGATACACAGTTTCTAGAAGGTGTTTGGTAATATGGTATCAAAAGTCTTACTGCTTTCTTTACTTTTCTGTGGCTGAGCTAAAAGAGCAGCACCCAAGGCAGAAACCTGGAGGCAGGACCGGAAGCCGAGGCGGAGGAGGAACACTGGCCGAGGCGGAAGAGGGACACTGCTTTCTGGCCTGCTCAGCTTGTGCTTTACAGCAGAGGACCACTTGCCCAGGGGTGGTGCTGCCCGCAGTGGGCTGGGTCTTCCCATCCAATCATTGGTCAAGAAAAGGCCCAAGAGACTTGCTTAGAGACCGGTCTGTGGAGGCATTTTCTCGATGGCACTTCCCTCTTACCAGGTGACCCTGGCTTGCATCAAGTTGACAAAGAAGCAGCCAGCATTTATCCTAAATATTTGCTTCATGACTAGTATTTTCGTAGCTGGGAATTTAAGGGAAATTTATTTGAGGACGTGAAAACTTCTGAGGAAAGCCAGGTCAGCATGTGAGAGCAGAAAGCTGTAAACAGTGGCTGACTGTAAAATTAAGGGCATAGTCATAGCATAAAATACTATTAATAACCATGCATGTGTGTTTGTATATACACGGAACCATGTTCACCATTTAGTGATGCCTTCAAAAGCATAAATAAACCAGGCCCGGCATGAAGGTGTACACCTGTAAACCCAGCCCTTGGGAAGAGCGAGCAGCAAGACCATTCAAGGTCTTCCTCAGCTGCAAAGCAAGTTTGAGGTCAGCCTGGGGTACAGGGGGTTCGGTTCAAACAACCTACTTACACAATAAACCTAAGCTGGGTGTTAAGGGCCTTCTCGTGTGTTGCTGAGGGCCCCATGGGGAACAGGGACTCTATAGACCCAGCTCCATGACAAGGGACTGCCCGAGAATCACTCAGAACAGTGACTGGACTCAGCTGGACTGAAACCCTCATGGCCCCATCCCCCTAGGCCAAGAATGTGGGGGTGGCATGCTGCAGCTCAGACAGCGGAGCTCTTTTGAGGTCTTCAAGGGTGACCGCCTCCGTGAGCATCGTGAGAGCTGTGGGAGTTTCCCACGGACTTCCTGTGCTCCGTTTGGTAATTAGAGTCAGATGACTGACGGGGCTGACAATAGACTCGCGAGTTCTCCGGAATGTGCGAGCTTGCGTAACCGGTCCCAGATGCTTCCCCAGGAAACAAACGCAAGGGCTGCGGAAGGTGTGGGTTTTCATACCAGCCAGTTAGCATGGGAGCCCTGAATCTCCGAGACCCACAGGCGTGGCGCTCCCCTGTACCGTTTTGGCAGGTATGGGTTTCCTGAGAAATTGAATCAAGCCATCAGCTGACAGGCCTGCGCATTCAAATTGACCGCGAACTTATAAACAAGCTTAAAGAAGAAAGAACAAGCCTTAACCGATCGACAAGCCAGTTAGTAGACTAGAGAGTTGTCAAGGTGTGGCCCACGGGGCCAATCCCCCTGGCCCTCCAGAGTGTAAATAAGACCTCAGCTGCCACTTGGTTGGTCTGTCCTCTTTTAGAAACACTTGGCTTTCTACTCCATTTAGATTAGGTGGGAAATATTTACAAAACCATGTGTGAATGTGCGTGTGTGTGTGGTATGGCTGTGGGGCACATGCGTGCCTGTTCAGGTCAGAGGCTGACATTCCTCGATGGCGTCTTATTTGCTTACATTATTTATTTCTTCTTTTATTGTGTGTGCAAGTAAATGCCAGGTACAGTGTGGCTATACAGAGGACAGTTTGTGGGAGTCTGAGCTCTCCTTCTGCCATGTGACTCCCAGAACTCAGGTCATCAGGCTTGGCAGGGGGGCCTTTACCTGCTGAGCTACCTCCTGAGTCCCACTTTTTTTGTTTTTAATTGACTCAGGCTCTCACTAAGCCTGGCTGCCCCAGAACTCAGAGATCCACTTGCCTCTGCCTCCCAAGTGCTGGAGTACAAGGTGTTGCCACCATGTCGGAGTCCTGCACTCTATTTTGAGATGGGTTCTCTAACTGAATTTGGGGCTAACTGGCTAGACAGCAGTCACATGAGTTCCCAGAATCGTCTTTTCCTCCCACGGCAGTTACAAACTTCTGTGGGAGCCCGGAAGTTCTGAACTCAGCTCCTCATAGTTCACAGCCAATGCTTTACCACGGAGCCCAGAACCACCCCCTATACACTTTTACTGATTTATTATTAGAAGACTCTGCTGTGGAAAACCTTCAGACTGAACCTCCTTATCAGCGGCAGGTTAACTTCGAATTCCCCAGCAATGAGCAGGTTGTTTATGTCTGTAGTTGGCACTGCCTGTTTCTTTTTTTTTTTTCCTATTTATTTATTTATTTATTATGTATACAATGTTCTGTCTGTGTGTATGTCTGCAGGCCAGAAGAGGACACCAGACCTCATTACAGATGGTTGTGAGCCACCATGTGGTTGCTGGGAATTGAACTCAGGATCTTTGGAAGAGCAGGCGATGCTCTTAACCACTGAGCCATCTCTCCAGCCCCCCACTGCCTGTTTCTTGACACTGGAGAAAAACATGACGAATGACTCCAAACCTCAGCTCCCCTCTCTGATCAATAGGAAAGGGTTTTGGCCTCTTTTTGGATAGATGAGGCTTCATTTACTTTTGTAACCCTAGGGTGTGGCAGAGAGCCCAGCTATATAAATTTTGGCTAAATATTTTAAATCAAGCACATAGCCTTTAGTCCCAGCACTGGGGCGAAGAAGCAGGCAGATCTCAATGAGTTCAGGACCAGCCAAGTCTACATAATTAAGAAAGACCCTGTCTTAAAACAAACAGAAACACTGCTGCCTTTGGTAGCTATTTGCCCTCTTTTTGTTTGTTTTTCGAGACAGGGTTTCTCTGTAGCTTTTAGAGTCTGGCCTGGAACTAGCTCTTGTAGATCAGGCTGGCCTCAAACTCACAGAGATCCACCTGCCTCTGCCTCCCTAGTGCTGAGATTAAAGGCATGCGCCACCATTGCCCGGCTGGAACTAGTTCTGGCCTTGAACTCACAACTCACAAGGGATCTACCTGCCTGCCTCTGCCTCTGAATGCTGGGATTAAAGGCATGTGCCACCAACTGCCCGGCATCAGCATTTTTTGATTTTTTTTTTTTTTAAAGCAGGGTTTCTATGTAATCCTGGCCGTCCTCAAACTCAAGAGATCCCCCTGCCTTTGCTGGGATCAAAAGCATGTACCATCAGGCCTGGTTAACATTTTCCTGCTTTAACGCAGAAGTAGTGACTCGATTGTGTTTGTGGAACTGATTTTTAAAGGTTAGTATGGAGATCAGAGACTGCTCCTTTAGAGCTGAGGATGAGGACCAGCACAGCACGTAGCAGTGTGGTCATCTCTAAAGCCTTTCCGAGCATCGGACGCCCTCTTCTGGCATCCCAGAGCACTGCAATCATGCAATGCGCAGAAAAAATACACACAGATACATAAACAGGACTCAGGAAGGGAGGGGATCAGCCAGGCAAGGAGGGGGGATCAGGTGTCCTAAGAGGCACTATTTTTCACACATGGTCCCCAGTTCAGAGCTCTCGTGGCTGTTGGTAGCTACTAATGAATGAGCAAAAGCCAGACCATTGCTCTCCCAAGGGCAGTCTGACTCTGACCTTGTGGAGAGAGCGGATTCTGCCAATTGGCAAGAAGCAGGCTTCACGCTACCCACCCTCCTGGCACTGTTAGCAACAGCAAGTGTGTCCTCTAGGCGGATGGCCTTTCAGGCACACCCCCTGAGCCTAGGCTCTGGGATCTCACTGCTTCACGTTTTGGAAGTGTAGACCACTGAGATTTTCTGAAGCCCAGTTACTTCCCCAGTACAGTGGGAGTAAAAATATCACCTTGCCCTTAAAATTGCTGTAAGGATGAAAAGAAATAAAATGCGGCATAAGAAGCACGCATGATGTACGCGTACAGGCTTGCAAGATTCTGGGGGTGGGTGGGTGGGTAACTGCGTTACAATTTGGAGCCAATGAAATGTTTTTGTTTAAAAAAAAATGTTTTTGTTTCGTTGAGACAGTTTTGCTATGTAGTTCAGTCTGACCTCGAAATTGAGAAACTGGGATTACAGGAATGAGCTAAAACACACAGCACAAACCTGATTGATTCTGGATCATTTACGCCCGCCCCTTCCCTTCCCCGCCAATTAATTATAGAATTCAGTGTTCATTTTTAAAACCCTTGATTTTGGGATACACACTATTTTTCTTTTTCAAAAAACAAAAACCAATAACCAAAAGATGCCCCTCTTCTTTCTTCCCCGAACCTTGCTGTAATTTCTCCCCCATTTTCCCCACTTACTAAACAAGACCAAAGGGACTAGCCAGTGCTGTGTTTAGAAAAAGCAGGTCCTCATGGTGACCGTCTCAGGTCCAGAGAAAAAACTAGTTACATCAGAGAAGCCTCGCAAAGGACGTCAAACAGTCGTGTGCACAATGTTTGCCGGGCTCTAGGTGGGGATCGCAGAATGACAGCAGGGCACAGAACCAGAAACAAAGCCACGGCGGCTGGGCACGGCCTGGTCACCGAAGCAGCCGAGCAGCCCGGCCGCCCGGAGAGCAGCTGGCCCGCCGCCAGCCCGCGGGGGAGCCCCGCAGCTCAGCCCGGCCGCCGGGCGGTTATTCCCGACATGCTCCTCCCGCAGGATTTCAAACCACCACAACAGCCGCCCCGCACTCGATCGGGCCTGCCCCAGCAACAGGCGGTGGCCGGCGTCTCATTGGCCGTGACGCAGCTGCCGCGCCCTCATTGGCTGTGGGGTCGCCGGCCCTCTTCTGCGCTCGCAGGGGCCTCCATTTTGTCGGTAAAGCAGGAGGCTGGTCGCGGACGAACTGTGCTCTGTGAGTCGCTCGTGGGCAGTGTTTGATCCGCGAATCGTTTCTCCCTGTTAAGGGAGGGAGGTTTGGAGGTCGAGAGGGAGTTGCCGCCACCGCCCGAACTCGAAGTCGGTGAGTGTGGCGGGGACCGCCATGTTGGCCACCACGGGCCATTGTTGGGCCGGGCAGCGCGTCTCCCCAGGAACTGAACCGCGGGCGCAGGCGGTCAGCCTGCGGGCTGGCATTTCGGGTTTACTGCGAGTGCGGACATTGTGACAGAAAAATTGGAGGTTCTTTCAGCCATGCTAATTTGAACAGCGAGAAACCTCGATGATCGTTCACTTTGGGCGGCGTGCATGGTTAATGATACGGTTTCGTACGGAACCGGGAGTGTGGACTCAACCCAAAGCACCATCCATGCACGTTGTTGGTAACAGCTTAAATGTGGAAATGTCTGTGGGGTTAGAGCAGAAAATCCGGATAGAATTTGAAAAACGTGGTCCCAAGTTTCATAGGAACTACGCTGTGAGGTCACAGAAGCAAACGCTTCCTTAGTTTGCCTTTAAAGCGGGTGGCCAGGGAGGCCTTACAAGACCTCGCCGAGAATTGGTTGACATATATGTGAGGTCAAGGAAAGTCATGGTCTCATACATCTGTCTTATGTTCTAGAAGCCTTGAGGAAGTAGTAACAGCCATCTTACATGTCTGTTTAAGCGATCACTTTTTTGGGTTGTTTTTGAGTAATTATCTTTCATTTTCTAGCTAGGACTTCTCTCAGACTTGTGTGCTGAGGAGACTCGATGTTGGCCTCAGCTCCTAGGCTGAAATCAGCAGATTGGCTCATGAAAACTTATGTATTGAGACAAAGGAAAGGATCTAGCAGAAAGCAACATCTCTTATCCTGGGCTTGGCAGCAAGGAAGAGGCCAAGTAGTGGAGATCCTGCAATCTGAGAAGCAGACTGAAAGGTATCACGATTCACATCTCGTTATTATAGTGGTAAAAGATTCATATCATAACGAGGCTAATATTTATAAGTAATTTTAAACCATTAAGGACTGCATATCCCAGTTCTCAAGGGGTCGGGGCAAAACTGCTTGGAGGTCATTCTGGTACAGGATACCCTGTCCAAAAGAGGTTGGTGGTGTATTTATGTGTGGGTCTTTTTCTAATTTTCTTTTATTTAGCTTTCACAAACAACTGGTATATGGGTTAGGACTAGCTTTAATATTTTTGAGGTAAATGGTCTGGTGGGGCAAGCCTGTGTAATGGCAGCTAGTTCCTATTTACTAACATTTTTAGAATACAAACTTTGGAAACTTAAAAAAATGTGGAAATTTACTCGTGCTTACATTTATTTACTTCCAGGTGACAAAGAAGCTCAAGATGGGTGGCGGAGAGAGGTATAACATTCCAGCCCCTCAATCTAGAAATGTTAGCAAGAGCCAACAACAGCACAACAGACAGAAGACCAAGGATCAGAATCCCCAGATGAAGATCGTTCATAAGAAAAAAGAAAGAGGACATGGGTACAGTCCATCGGCAGCTGCATGGCAGGCCATGCAGAATGGGGGAAAGAACAAGAGTCTTTCTAACGACCCAAATTGGAATGGTAGCTTAACAAGTCCAAGCTTGCTTTTTAAGTCTCAGGCTAACCAGAACTATGCTGGAGCCAAATTTAGTGAACCACCATCACCAAGTGTTCTGCCCAAGCCACCAAGCCACTGGGTTCCTGTTTCATTGAACCCTTCAGATAAGGAAATAATGACATTTCAACTTAAAACCCTACTTAAAGTACAGGTTTAAATCTAAGTACTAATTTTAAATTTTGTGATGTTCATATGTAGCCATGAGTTGATTTGACTTTAGAGAATTTTTATAAAACTAATTCACAACTATAAGCAGACATCTGATTTATGTCCTATGTACACTATATTATAATAGTGTCATAATTTAAGTAGCTATTCCTACTTGGTAGTTTTGCTAACCAAATTCAAGCTTAGATTTGGAGAACAGTAACCAGCTTTTTATTGTCTAGTGGAAAACAAAAAAAGGAGATCAGACAGTAAGCATTTAGCTAGTAAGATATAAAGGCTGCAAACAAGGCGCATAGTTCAATTACATATTCTAGAAACACCCAAACCCTAACACCACAGGCATCTTTTCAAATAGCTGCCTCTTATTGGAATGAGGTGAAGTAGATGATAGTGGTCATTTCTTATGCACTGGATAAGCATCATATACCAAATCTTTTACATTTCTATTCAGTAGCTTCCTACAAAGCTTGCTTGAAGCAGGGAGTTGTGTATGTGAAAATTAAATACCTAGGGAACAAAAAGAGCCATGTAAATACATGTAATAAGCTTGTAACATATGTAAAGTTTTCCTTCCCTTTATTCTGCAAAAAAAAAAAAAACAACTTATTTTTAATGTGAATTTGCTGGTGAATATAAGACTATTAACTGTTTTTATACTATGGCCTAATTTTTAAAGGTCTCCAGTTTTCAAAAGATTGCCCTTGTGCTTAAGTGCCAGTGTATCGATGTAAGTGGTGTGATTGTAACCCATACAAAGTGAATCTGTTGTATTAAGTTTTTATATTGAAAGGCTTTAAGCTGCCAAGACATTTCCTGTTTTTAAGAAGAGATGTAAGATGCAGCCAGATTCTCTTCCTGATCTTTTTAAACCCAAAGATTCATTGTCTTTATCAAATCATAAAAGTGATGATTTAAGTGTGACCCAGGATTATTTATGCAAAGCAATCTCTAGCATGTTAGCCCAAACACAAGTTACTTTTCAGTGCTTGAGCAAAATAACCAATTTGTATTTCCTCAATTAAGTTCAGACCGGATACTGCCCAAATCAAAACAGTATACTAAAGGACAAGTTCATAAAATTATGATCTAATTTTGAAGTATGAAATTAAATAAAACTTTTCCTCCCTAGTAATTGTTTTGATTGAAATGATTTGCGGCTGCCAAATTTCGGGATATGACTGTTGGTCAGTGAGGCTACTGCTTTGCTTGCTGGTTGTTAAATTGGACCTTTCTTCTGAGATTAAAGGTGTGGATCAACGTACCCAGCTCCTCTACACTTTCCTACAGTGCTGACAGCAAAAAAACCAAATAACTTGTGCAACCTTACAAATGTTGAGTTTAAAACAGTTTAATAGAAAGTTTCCCCATTTCATGATTATTCACAGAAAATTAACAGGAATCGAGAGTATGTAGGCAGAGGCAGCTAGATAGGAGTTTGAGGCTCCAAGACAGCGAGACCTTGCCTCAAAAAACCTGTAAGTCCACTACTTAGGAGGCATAAACACCAAAATATAAAAAGCACTCATGAAATCTGGTAGCCACATACTGAGATGCTTTCTTGTATTTTGGTGTCAGCGTGTAGTGTTGTCTCCATGACAACAACCTTATTTTAAGTACAAAGTGCATGTATGAGGATTTCAGATGGTTCTAAATTTTGCAGCTCAGGCAATGACTAAATCAAATAATAAAGCTCTAACACCTCAGAAACAAAACTGTCTACTCAGGTAGTCATACCTGTAAGGTATAACAAAGTCTACAGAAAAGAACAAGAATTTTTTTAAAAACACCTAGACCAGTTTATTTTACTCTCTCCAGCATTCAAAGAAATAAGACCTGCAAAAAACTGGATTACAAAGAAAGACCTTCCACATACTGTTACTAATGAAAATTTACATGCCTATACGCGCACCAACTTTACAAATACAAACATTAATAACCAACACTGCTGAAAGAAGAGACAGGAAAACACTAAGAGAAAAAGTCTTTCATAGGATATCTTGGCGAAACTAGTTGAAGACAAAGTTCTTTAATTCATCTATCAGATCCTTGAAAATTGAGGACATTTCCTCTCTGAAAATTTCCTTTATAAGGACTTTGATGATCCCCGGAGTCCTGGCTACTCTACATTCTTTAATCTTAGTGTTTTATAAAAACAAACAAACAAAGGGGTAGCACAGAAATACTCCAAAGATACTGAAGTTTGGAAAAGCCAGTGTGGAGTACCCAAGCTCCAGACAGCCTATAAATCTTAGAATACACTTAATCTACATTTTACCTAGTAAAGTTGAAGGTGTAAGGAATATGTATGCAAAAATCTCTGTCCACATATTGGGCATCCCACAGAAGACAAGTGATGCTTTTGAAAGTTAAATAGGAATATCTGAAAAACATACAACTTGGCACAGCAAGTGCTTAGTATATCGACAGCCTTTAATATACACGGAAACCACAATAGACAGGCTAAAACAATTCAACTCTACAGCTACCCAAACCACAGGGGCCCTTTCTAATTTACCATACTTAAAATCCTAAGAGCTGTCAAGTACGGTTATTGTACTTGTAAACAAACAAGAATTCTGGTAAATGAAACCTCTAAAAGCAAAGAAATCCAAATAGTACAATTAAAAAAGCAAACCAAATCAAACCCTCATGTAAACACACTTCATTCTCTCCTCTGGAAGGCCTTAAGTTCAATTTGAAAGGAAATGGAGAGGGGAAGTAGAGAACAAAACACCTATGAATTGCACAGATAACTGTGAAATACACAGAACTTCTATCTTTAAAACCAATCCAATGCTAATTATGTAATGCTAAAAACCACATTTTTTGATAATCTTGAAATAAATGCTAAATTCAGTTTTTATCAATTTTTATTGTATCCTTGAAAATAAAACTATAAAAGCATTTCCAACTTGATTCAAAATAAAAACAGCAACAAAAACGAAGCCAAAATTTGTAATTCTCACCTGGTACCTGCTGCCTTTTTAAGTTTGGGCAGGCTGAAAAAGTTCGTCTAACACAAATAAAATAACCTTCATTTTACCTCCCTTCATTTATGTGTAATCCTATTACATTTTAAAAATTGTTATAAAAGGCTTTACACTGTTTCCAGATTTCAGATTTTTGACAATTTTAAACGTGGCAAAAATACAACAAAAATTCAAATGTGATGGAATCAATGTTGATAAACAGGTTCATATCCTAACAAGGAACCAAGGAATCAAAAACATTTTGTGACACTACAAAGTTATTACCTATACACAGAATATGTCCCCTATAAAATGTACAAGTATATCACTAAAAAGTCTAATCTGGTAAACATTTTTTTCCCAATACAGAATATACTAAGTCACTGGGGTAACAGCTGTCTGCCTCAAAATAATCTAATTATAGCACCCAGGGTCTGCTTTAATGCAAAGTTAAATACTTGTTATTCTGGGGATTATCTATTTGTTTGACTGAGCCAGGAGTGAACAATTTAGTTATTACTCTAGCATATTAATCACTGCACAGTAAATCTGCTTATTACAGGTTTTTTTATTTGTAGTCATGGAATACAAATACTAGATAATTTTAAATGGCAGACAACCATAAGATTACTTATCTCTGATAGTAGTTTTATAATTACATTAGGATATGAATGATATGAAAAATCGCCATAATACACTTCAAAATGTGGCCATACTGTAATGACTCAATAGATTGTGCTAAGTATGTACTTACTAGATAAAGTAATTATCTATTCTCCAATTATCCAGTATGTTTTGCCCACAGCAAAAATTCAATAAATATCTATTGAACATACTGTCTAGGCAAGAGGTGAGAAAGAGATGGGCCCTCATGGTTGGATGTCAAGTATAAGTGGAATTAACCCGGGAAGGAGTGGTTAGATGTAAACTATACATGGTATACACGTAAATAAACTCAGATGCCAACAAAACAACAGTTAAGCAGAAAATACTGGCACTGGAATAAACAAAGGCAAGACCTGCCAACACTGGCGTTAAGTGGAACTGATTTTTAAGATAACCAAGAAAAATTTTATATTGGACCATACCTTTACCATTCAATTTAGTTTGAGACAGACCAAGAGAGGCACTGTTAAGAGACTATGGCTGTCTTCCTTGATATTCAGACATCCTAGTTACCAGTAAGTTATCCTGGATCTGCCACCCGTGAGTCAATATATATCTGTTCATATTTAGGGATTAGTTTCCACAAGTACAAAGTTGAATTTCCTTTTATTTGTCCTAAAAAGCTTACTTTCAAACTTGAAGGGACTTCAATTATTCCATGTAGTTTTCGATAATTCTTTTATCTTTTCAGACCAGAGTCAAAATATTCGTACAGTATTCATACTGCAGCACCTTCCACCCACCCTTTGGTCGCTTGAACTGCCCTTCTTTGGTTCTTTTTTCCGCTTTCAGATCTTTCTTGAAGTGTAGTAAGCAGAACTGTACTGGGTATTCCAGCTGCAGTTTGGTCTTAAATAAAAGAAGGATGTTTGTCAGTTTGGTTTTCTCTTTATTCTTCTCTGTGGTATACAGGATTTTGTTAGTTGAACTGGATGTAGCAGCTTACTGGGCCAAATTTTCAAGAGAATAGTACAGTAGTTCCCAGGTCTTTTCCCTAGGCTGTAACTTAATAGCTCAAACTCTATGTAGCACCTGTCCTTTCTCACTGAAGCATTCATCACCTCTCACTTTTCTTCTTGCTTACTTGGCTTATTTAGAGGGGGAAAAAAAGGCAGAGAGCTTAAGTAAAAAGAAAGGCGAAGTGTCAGCCTTCATTTGAGTCTCAACACAAATGTCCTATTCAATAGAGCCCAGTGTACACACACAAGAGGTTCTCACTGACTATGAAACTTAGTATGACCCATATTTAGCTTAAAACTGAAAATCCTCACTGGGTCTCAGTAGGATGCCACTATGAGTGCAACTGTATATAGTCCTTGTGAAGCTCTGCTGGGCATACCATGTCATACACAATGTGTAAGCTTCTCAAGTTAAAACAGTTTGAGTGTAAAATTAACAAAACAGACTGAGCACAGTGTTATGGGGGTACCTCTTTACCTATTGTTTTTAAAAAATTTAAGCATCAAATCTGGGCTCAAATCTTAGCTCTGTCATTGGTAGCATTTACTGTGCCTTTAGTTTCCGGATATGGGGGAATAGCTTTCTAAAAGGGTTTTGTGAAGAGTGAATGAATCAAGTCTCTTTCAAAATAGTTAGAATTCAATCCACAAAAATACCTACCCCCCGCCCAAGTGGTCATTGTTTAAATTGCTCATGAACATTCAATGAAAAAGCTTCTAAAATCATGTCATAAACATAAACACAACATGTCTTCTTTAGGAAAAGGAAAGAGCAGAATTGATACTACTTTGTAATAATGAAAACTTAAATTTATAGTTAGCTTGTCAAATTTTCATTTTCATATGCCTATCAACACTACTAAATATAAATAACCTCTTATATGATTTAACTGAAGAGGCTTAGTGAGCAATCATGAATGACTTTGACATAAGGAATTCTTAAGTACTATGTAAAATATGTAGATTCTGGCAAGTTCTATCATCCCCAGAACAGGTTAGTTGTACCTAATGTCAACACTGATTAAAATATTCCTAAATCTACAAAAAATGGTAATTTCCATTATTTTAGACTCATTCAGTACTATAATAATTCCAGTTAATCATTATTTCCTTCATTTTGTTTTTATTATAGCATGTTTGCTTAATTTACAGCAAGCAGAAAATAAGCTGGGTCTTGTTTTGATCCAAACATTGATGTTTTAAAGGTTGTACACAATATTTGTTAAAAAGAACATATAAAAATACCTTTTTAGAAGCTTCTATAAGAAAGAAAATACAAAGTTTAACCCCACAACTTTCCTCTTTGCTAGAACTGCAAACTACTGCTACAGTTTTAAATAGACTTTGCTGTTTAAACTATACATCCAGGAAAATCTAAAAAATTAAAGAAACGTGCATATAAATGATTGCATAGCAGAACAAGAACATTAACTGCAAACAGTAAAGAAATGAAAGTTAAAAATACTATTAAATATACAAAGATTCTAGAATTAATCCTCCAAACACATTCCACAAACAGTTCTTATAAACCATC